GTGGTTTGCTTCTGTGGGGAATACAGACTGGCTTCAAACTGAACCAACTACAGGAAACAAGTTCCTTATTGGACTTCAAGAGCAACTGTTGCTAATCAACAGGGTAGCAATTTTGCTTTCAGTGCTGCTAATGCTACCACTGTTCTACAAACAATGAGTCGTTGTGGGTCAGGGCATGCAGAGCAGCTTGTCTCCTTTGGGTTGCGTCACAATTTGCCAACAACGTCCCAAAATTAGAAGTATATCATTGTGACATTGCTGTTGAATGAGCTGATTTTTAATTTTGAAATGGTATTACGGTTGTAATAACAGCACCATCTTTCGTTTTGGTTCTTTTCACTGTTCTGCCCCTGTCATCTGTCGAATGGATGCAATGACCGTCACCCACRTGGCTTTGTTTATAAATCATAGTTGGCTTGCAAAAAAGCACAATGTGAATGCAAACCGCAACAAACAAAACAAAAAAAAATAGTCTGCTTGTTTTGTTCCAAACAAGTAAACCAAACGACTTTCCTGGTATGAATACACCCTAATTTGAAAGCCCCAATATTTTTGATCAGCACCTGAAGATTTCACCAAGCATGTTAAACTAGTTACTATCTTTTGCATGTAGCATGGCATCTGCTGGAAAAAGGAGGGCTCCATAGAGTGAATGAGGGGAAAAAAGTGAACATTAAACATTGAAAACAGGACAAAAAAAAAACAGGAGCTGGTCTGATAAGACGCAGCCACGTCTCCTCCTAATGACAGAATTATGACTCAGCTCCATCTGCCACTCAGCCAGAGTCATCCAATCACAGGCACGCTCATAATGAACTGGTTCCATTTTTCACACCCATCTGTGCTCACCACACAATTAAGAACGTAACATTGCTCAGATGTCAAGGAGGTGTGGAACCAGTAGCTTGGATTTCACCATGTTCCCAGGATGTGGTGAACAGTATTGCTTGTAGCAGCTGTAATTTGATTTCTGCACCTTTATTGACAAAGGCTGGGTGTGATGAGATGCAACCTTTCCCTATAAACACTGTGTTTGATTGTGCTACAGCAGTAACTAATGTAATTGTTGAATCATACTGTCTCTTTTCCTTCAGACAGCTTGCTTGGGGAAACAATATGTGTAACTAAGTAAACTGTGTATGGCTGTCTATTCTTAAGAAAAATGCTTATTGTGAATTATTTGACGTGCAAATAACTTTTTTTTACTATTTTTTTTTTGTGTTTGTTGAAACAAATAGCTCTATTTGAGTAGTTTTATTTGCCCCTTTCACTTCTATCAATGGAACACAAGTTAAACAAATTAAGATTACATTTTTTAACAACCTCACACTTAATTTTGTACTCTCTTTTTCCTTAGATGCATTTGTTTTCCCTTCTGTTTATTTATTTATTTATTTTTATTCTAGCTTTTTTTTCATGAAACTGTAGTGCTGCCTTTTGCCTGCCAAAGCTGTGTGAGAAAAGGATAAGAGGATGGTGGTGTGGTGTGTATTTGAATGATTTGGTATGCAGCRACAGCAGCATTCTGTTTCATTGCAGGAGCCCTAGCCTTATCTCCTTAATGGATTATGAGCAGGGGAACAAAAACAGAAGGTGGCAGAGTGAGAATGATTGGTCTTTGTGTAAAGGGCCGGCAGGAAACGGACTGCTGCCAGATTAAGGGGCCTGCCTCAACATTTCTTCAGCTCCTGAATCACACAACTTATTATTAAAAAGAAGACAATAAAAGGAGCTTGTAGTAAAGAGATGTTTAAATTGTTGTTGTGCATTCTGATTTACTGGACTGCTGGTGGTAAAGTAGCTTATTGTGTATTAGGTAATAATTGTTCTGGAGCTTTGCCCTTTCATACCTCYAACTCTATATTTTTGTGTATGCACACCTGGGGTTTGGCCAATTTTGTTCAATGAAATAAACAGAGGATGAGCAGCAGACCTATTGATTATTAGAATGATAAAGTATGTCTACTTTAATCAATTCTGATTAATTTGTTTGGTATCATATTTGGTCATACGATTTGGTTTAAYTTAAGATAATCCAGTGTATTCTGTTCAGCATAACTGTTATTTCTTACCAAGTATTTAACATGGTTTACCATCTAAGCTAACTTTTTGATGCAAAAGAGCAGGGGCCCTACTTTGAAGTCTTCCTGAATGACTGAGTTCTTTTAAAGCTATGTTTAASGCTAAGTCCAGCTCTCCTATGGTGAAAACTCATTTCAGCTGCTTGTTCCTGGGATCTCAGTATTTTAGCCTTAGCCATAGCTCTTCATTATAGTTACTGAGTTGTAGAGCAAAAGCCTGGATTGTTAAGCTCCTTATTTACCATGCCATATAAGAGCAATGCACTAATTACTGCAGACAAAGCCCCAATCCACTGGTTTATCTCAAGTTTTTCACTTTCAATACTTGTGAACAAGAGAGACAAAAATAGTAACTCCACCACCTGAAGTGGCAACTAAGCACCATCTTAGAATAAAGTGGTTTTTCCCCCTCTGGTTAAGACCCATGATTTTAGATTTGAAGGAGTTGACTACCATTCTGGCTGTTCAACACTTGGCTGTGAACTATGACCAGGGTGCTCACAGGTCAAAGACACCATTAGAACAAACCACACCCTCCACAAAAAGCAAAGGTGAAGTTCTCAAACACCTTTCTCCCAATGATTATGACAATGTCTTGTTCCCAAACACTACAAAATAGTTTGGAGACAAGGGGGAAACATGGAATATGCTTTGAGTGATAAAATCATAAGCCTTCTTGAATGGGTAAATGAGGGCACAGATTGTATGAAGCGCTTTGAGTATCCTGGTTGGGTAGAAAGGCGCTTTATAAGTACAGACCATTTGCCATTACCTTCTCTGAGCCTATAAAACATGTCTGGACTAGACAATCAAACTCTCATGACCCCCTCATTAACACTTCAAAAGTCCACTGTTCCTTGACCACATTGAAAKGTGCTCTGCTTCTCATAAATCTGATGTTCAATAATTGGTTGAGATTTTCTTTCCAACAGYTTGGCGTGAACTTTGTTAGGGATGCCAAGCAGAGTGAAGCCCTTTTGTGATAATATGGCATGACCAGACCCCTGCCCACCATCCAGCTCACATTATCCCCAATTTTGACTTTTCTCCACAATGATTGTGGAAATGATTTTTGATTGATTGATTGATTGATTTCATAAAAATCAGTTGGAAAAAATGTCAAATACTGAATGCAAAGAATGCAGAAAAAAGAAAAATGTATAATGTCTTCCCTTTATTTAAAAAAATCTACAAAGCAACATCTTAAAAACATGTGATTTATTCAGGCTGAACCCAGTCAAGTCCCAGAGCCAGGGCTCAGCCACAGAGAACTTGGCTTTCAGGCCAGGTTCCAGAGGGTGTCCAAGTTGCATTTGGGAGATGAGGCAACCTGATCATTGTGATCTTGCTATATCAAGGTCTTCAAATTGTATTTCACYTGACCCTTGCCTTGGGACCAATTTGAAATGGGAGACTCCACCAGCGGCTGATGCCTCACCCAACACAGACCTCGAAACACGAGGGTACTCAAACCTCTCCAACATAGGGAATTACCTTCTCGCAGTCTCTGTGGTGCAGTCAGTCAGAGTATTTGGCTGCTAATTAAAATGCCGGTGGTTTGCACCCAGTGAAAACAGGCAAATACATATGAAACTACAAAGGGCGGTCAAATTGTGACTGATTATACTRCACGTTCTCACTYCCGACTCATCACCATATTGATGCTTGGGCAGGTACATCTGCATCCAGTTTTGCTATGYCAGGTAACCTCCTCGTGTCAGTTATTCATGCCTGCGGCTTTTCCGGGTTGCACCACATAGGGGTCTTTGGGTCGGGGGTCTGTGGTTAATGTGAGGGATCAGGATTAATGGTTAATTTTAGGAACTGAGGTCAGGGATATGATCCATCCATCCATCCATCCATCCATC